TGATCGCTAAACGTCCATCGACATTGTGATCGCAATCATATGTTTAGATAGCGGTTTCTTTCTCTTTTTGGAAATGTTTTATTAGTATTCGAATATGTATTTTGGTTTCTTAACGTTTATGCTTTTGCCTCTTCTTTTAATTAATTTTTGGATAGTTTTTAGTTAAGAAAAACGAAAAAACAGTAGCATTTCGAATAAAATATATAAAAAAAAAAAATTGATTTATAAAAATACGAGCCGTTTATCATTATTTCGCAGAAAATTCTTTTATAAAACCGTTACTCAATCATTTATTATATGTAACAATACAATCGATAGAGACGATTAAATCTTGTTATGTGCAATATTTGCAAAAAAAAAAAAAAAAAATTAATAATAATAATAATAATTATATCAATTTTTTTATCAATTCATTTCAAGACACTACGTATTTAGAATATTATTAACAGGCGTTGTTGTTAATGTTTCATTTCTTTGCGTAGATGCGCCTTTCAAAGTTTAACATCGACCGCGCAACCGCAACATTCAATTCCAATAATTTTGCTTATCTACTCTAGTTTAGTTCGCATAAACTATTGAATCTCTTCATGTCGTTTACCTATTTCGAGGTTATCTGATGACATTTATTTTAGTTTCGCTTGCGATTTCATCTTGACTACCATCTACTGTCATTGCATAGAATGCAAAAAAAATTTACAAATTCAAAATCATATAAATCTCTTTGTTAATACATAAAAGTCCAAGCTTATCATCTGTAATGATTTTAGCGACATAGATTCGTTCGCATTTGAAAGACGTTCTCAATATTCTTCAGCCAATTAGATGCAAAAGTGCATAAGTGGTGCTTAGAGTTATGCAGAGAGAGAGAGAGAGAGAGAGAGAGAGAGAGAGAGAGAAAGAAAGAGAAAGAGAAAAAGAGAAAGAGAGAGTGTTTGTGATGAGTTGCCTACGGATTATACCCACAACTTGGAAAATTTTACAACATGTCCAGGACGTATCACATTAATCAAATTGCCTATACACCGGCGCCCGCAATAAATGAATGAAAAATGTTAAATGTCGTTACATATTTCAGCTTGCACTACATCCACAACGTTTCTATATCTTTGAGACAAAGATAAGCGAAAACATAGTTATGAGAGCATTATTATTATTATTATAGTCTTTATATATATAGTTTTCATCAATTTACACATCTACTGAGTCTGCTGCGAATTATTCATACGCTTTTAATACATAGTTTTGATAGTCGTAAATATCTCATCCCATTCATCCATTTGCTTATCGTTTATCAGACTAATGACATTCTCACAATCATCAACGTTAAGATATAAATTGTAAATATTGTACGAGATCAACGAGGAAGTGTTTGCTGGACACACAAAAATATTGCCGATTAGGTAACTGACACACTTGTAATTTACAAAAATTAAAAATTCTCGCCTAAAGCGATAATAATCAAATATTAATTCTCTTTTCTTTGTTGTTATTTAGAGCTTTTTTTTATTTTTCTTTTTCCTCTGACTTATCGAAGTTTACTTCAAATGGACGAATACTTTTTTTGCTAATCTTTAAATTTATTATTTATTATAAATATATTCATATAACTTCAACTCAACCTTCAAAAAAAAAAAAAAAAAAAAAAAAAAAAAAAAGATCATTTTGAACAACAATTAATTAAAATTCAAGCAACAAGTTAGAAAAATATTTAACATAGTGCAAGGATAGATAACGAAACGATAAACTAAACTTAACCAAATACATAGATGGAATTCTTTTCGTTCGATAAATTTGATATATGTATATATATATATATTTTTTTTTTTTCAAAATCCTTAATTTTTTTATCCCTCTCTCAATCTCATGTCATCAATTAAAATACGTAATTAATATGAGTTATAAGTTAATCTGGTCCTTTCGAGTCAAATCCAGTCCAGCTTTGACTAATTCACTTATCTCTTTTGATTTCTTTCCCTTAAAGAGAAGACTTAATACAAGTGCATAAGATTGCGGTAATGATAGTTGGTTTTGCTATCAACTTGCGTTTTTTTTTTTTTTGCTTCTAAATTTGAGAATGATTTTTTTTTTGTCTGAACATATTATTACCACAAAGTGGTGTAATTATCAATTAATTGCTGGTCGGTTATACTTAAGATATTTATTAGTATTTTGAGTTCAAAAAACTGTTAAAGGTCTAAATATCTATATAAATGATGTGTTGTTTTGGGTAATAATAAACAACAATATTTTACTAATGTACTTAATAGACAAGAGATATATTAATTTTGACAGGCCATACGTAACAACTGCTTATTCTTATATATATATATGCTTTCCTTTCTTATGTTTGATCTAAACAAAATCTTATATTATCCTCTTACTAGGGCCATGTCCTCGTCCTTAGATAGAGCATACGGTTGCTGGACATGTTATGTTGGAAAAATCTTGACAATATTAATATTGAAATTTTCCAATTGGGGGAGAGATTAACTGGAATAATACATTAAATGAATGTGATGCTAAAGAATCGAAAACTCATATCAATGGAAAATATTTTGCAGTTTAACTATACTGTGTTGTGGGTGTGCCCAATTAATGGATGGATATTATATATCCGACCTAAGCTGGATACAAATTTTTATACTCAACCTTACTTATGATATAATGTACATTTTGTTTGTTCGGATATATGTGTGTAATATGTTTTTTTTTTTAATTCGTTTTAAATTTGTCTGCCCGTCTATCCATCCGATGTCCGGCGCACCGGATTTGTTTTGCTTCAAAAACCAGTGCTATTGGAAACGTATTTGATCGGACCAGTTTTGCGAACATTTCACATATCATGCGTGATCTTGCAAAAAAAAAATCGTTATATGAAAAAAAAGTGCAATTTAAAGAATTTCTCGAGTAAGATACATGCTATGAACTCTCTATCCTATAATTGCTCTCACAAGCAGTAAGCTTTTACTTTGAAGAATGTATATCTATTTTCTTGATCCACATCTCCCATGTGCCAGCACATGGAAACAAGTTATAATTTTCAGTATCTTACCTCGCACATAAATGAGGAATTGTCGTACAGAAAATGGCATTAGGTATTAAATGGTTAGCATTGCTCGACTACAATGTTTTAAATCCCTTTCTCTGATAGACTTCTTTTTTTTTTCTATCAGCGAACAGTTTCGTAAAAATGTATTCAATAAGTCTTGGAAGAAGAAAAAAAAAAAAAAATTAAATAGAAAATGTAAACAGTTTCAGGTCAATAATAAATCTTTCAATAAATGAGTAGAGTTATACGTATTTATATATATATATACATATACTTGCATATTATTGCATTCTACCAGTTATGGCTACCAAGTGGCGTTAAATGCGATTGCGTTGTATAAGTGGTGGTTGTAGTTGTGGTTATGGGTGGTCCATATCTCAAAACAGTTCTTGGACCATTATAATTGTCAAAGTTGACCGGGGCAACAGGTGCCTCGTAAGGAGGCGTAATGGGTAAAGGTGTAGCAAATTGATATGCCGTAGACCTGCCCATAGCACCACTGGTATAGGTAGTAATAGGATGTAATCGTGTGTGATAATTTATTGATGGCGTGTAGGAAGCATCCGCAGAAAGATATGGTAAGGGATTTGAAGTGTATACAACGCCCGGGCTATACGCTTGCGCGAATTTAACATTTCCCGCGGCCGCATAATTGCGCAAGAATTTTGCTATAGGACCAGCTGGGTAATGTACACGTGTCGCAGCCACGGGTGCATTGGTATTAATGTCTTGCAGGAAACCTGCATCACTTCCTTTCGGTACGAGTAACAGGAAAGCCAATACGCAGGACTGTGAACACAATATACAATATGCTCGTAATTTTCAAAATTATTTTTGTTTAACGTACTTTACCGTATTTGTACTTACAATATGAAACATGTTGTTGCGATAATCTCCAAATTTGAAATATGCCGCCCATCGTTACTTCGTAAGGATTTTATAGTAATTTTTCGTTTTTTTTTTTTGTCTAAAAACTACCAAAATATAACCAAAAAATGCGTGCACAAATTTATTAAAGGGATTTAAAAAGCCTTAAAGAAAGGTTAATGATTGGCAGGGGAAGTGAACCTACTCAGACGAAATTCGTCAGCATATGCATAAATCATACTCAGAAATTAAGTTTAAAATGAGTTTGCGGAGACTCTCTGAATTCATTCATTCGTTCAGGGTAATAATCTTTTTAGTTCCAAATTGAACTATGCTTAAGGAAATATATGTTCATTTATATCCGATTTATATGAAAAGAATGTAATAGATATATGTATTTATATATATATATATATATATGTATATATATATATTATTCGCGCGTACTTCTCCTCACATGCCAATATTTGTTTGTTTCGTTATGTTACAGTTTGTGAAACAGAAAGAAATCACGATTTTTATGTCACTGTTTTTTCGGATTTTATTTCATTTGTCGATTAATTGCAACTTGTGTTATATAAAAAATGTATAATAAAAATGCTTTAATTTCACTTTTAATGACTTTTGATGACAATATCAACATTTTGTTACGGTTTTTTTTCTTGTCGCAAACCATTTTACATATCATTCAATCAATGCAATACAAAAAAAACATTATAAGCTTTTTATTTTCAAAAATTGATTGATTTTAAACTTTTTACGTCTTACACTATGTATGTATCTATGTATGTAGGTATGTATGTGTTATCTACGACCGAACAGGAATATATTAAGTAAAATTTACGAGCGTATTCTTCTAATCACAAGTACTTTTTAAAATGAAATTATGTTCTTTTACGCTATACATACGCTATATATGTTCCTAAAATTCTAATGAAAAGAGAATGAATCGATCATGGCTGCAATTAAAGATTGATTTTATCATGTATTGTGAAAAAAAAAAAAATGCCTTCATATTGCGCGATCGTGTTGAATACGCGCAGACCATAATTAAATCAAACCATACGGATAACAGAGTAGAAATATATATATGTCTATGTATTAATTAGTATATTTGAATATAAAGCCGGAATTAATACAAATGTTATCCTGTTCGAAACTTGCTTAGATTAACTTCCTACAATATGGCACGAAATGGTTAGAATGGACGTAAGAAACAGTGTTTGAGTGTTTGGTTAGACTTAGTCGACTCGGGTAGATAGAGAGTCGACCTCTAGCAATCTAAAGGAGACGAGATTTGCAATTGACCCCCGCCGCCAATCTCATATTTACCGATTACTCAGAATTTATGAGATCTTGGTGATGAATATTTTCGTTCGCTTAGCTTCGCTTTTTTGTGAACAAATTCATTTACTTCCAGGATAGGTATAATTGATCAAAGTGATTAGGCTTATAGCTAGCTATTCCAATTATAATTTCATGTCTCCGAGTTTAATTTAAGTAAAAAAACTATATTAGGGTGAAATCGAATTTGCTAAACCTATCACACACACACACACACTCACACTGTGAGCCCTTGAGATTGTTTATCACAAATATTACGCATGCAGGGTTGGAGGACCGATGGACAGATAGACACGTTTAAACCGATTCAAAAATTTGCTAATTATCAAGACTATATATCCACTTTATAAGGTAATTGAAGGTTTCTTTTGGCTTCTGACAACGTATTATATAATCTCATCCTACAAAGGAATTAATTCCAAGCATTAATAACATACTTAAGCCGCTGTAATCCGAATTGTGTTAGAAAAACTACTATCGATAGTTAAATTATCCATGTGTTACCTGTGCACTAACACTTTCGTTTGCTTGCTTACTTAAAATTTTTCCACGGCATTGCCAAAATAAAACAATCAGCAGCAGTTGACTTTCATTTTTATTTTGTTGGATCTCTTTTTGTGCGATAGGCTGATAATTATTTTCGTATTTTAGATTTCGTAGTGTTAGTAGGAGACCGCCCTGTAATAAGTTAATATTCAATCAACCCACTATCTCATCCCATTTTTCTGATGATTTCGTATTAGTCACTGTGAATTGCTGCTTCTGCTTGGCAGTTCAGCCTGGTAATCCCGACCTAACATTACTGGCAAAGTGAGTCATTACTTCATGCTGTTAGTGAATAATTTTTGCTACGTCTCTGAGTTATCATTACTCATTGCAACAATCAATTGCTTATCAAGATCTCGCTTTTAGTTATTAGGGCATTCGTAACAAATTGCGTATGTCTACTGCATCAGGAATCGAAGGCGGACATCCCACATTTTGAGAGCGAAACATTGTGACACTAGACTACTATTACTATTATTATTATTATTATAATGTATGCGATTAAATGGAGCAATTTTCGTGTGCTTAACCTTTCGCTTATGATCGCTATCTCTCTTTTATTGCATCTTTCTGTTTTTGTATATAATTTTTGTATAAAATAAATTTATTTTAAAAATTTTTTCACATATTTATCATTAATTTTTTTTTTTTTGCTTCCCCTCCCAACAAAATTACTAACATTTTACCTTTTAAGTACCGTTCCGTGTTATTTCCTTATACAAGAGTGTCGAGTTTGCAATACAAGCTAACTTACATAGAGCATACGCACATTGTTAGGCATCAGGAAACGTTGGTATAAAATTTAAATCAAAAAAAAGAAAAAAAAAAAAAAGGTGAAATAAAAAATAACTTTAAACTAAAGCATATCTGAAATGCTTCATCACACGCATACGTAATTATGCCAGTAAACATGATAACGCCGAAGCGCTGGCTTCGCGAGCTCATGATTTCTGATTACGTTAATTCTTAATTTTCAACTGGCATTAATGCAGACTGAATGTAAATTCTTACACGTAGCATGAGTAAATACGGAAACTTTAACTTTATCATATCATTTGTAACGCTCTGACTAAATACATCAAATATATAAAATTCGATGAGATGTTTTTCTAGAGCGGTTTGTGGCTTTGTATTTAGATTTTTAATTATTGTGGGCTGGTCATTATTAAACAGGGCATGGTATCGTGGTGATCGTCGTTTTGGTACGATCCTTAAACAAACATGTTATCTGCATTCACTTTAGATGACACTAATAGGCACATATATATATATGGCTATGGGGAATATTTGATTAAAATACGAATAAGATAATTTCGTCAATATCTTGCACTTTACGTACATATGAAAATATGTTTGCCAAATATCTTTCTTAAATGAGAGAGCTCATGCATTATTTAAGTAGAAGGCGACATTTACATAATGTTCTTACATAATTCTATTTAATATTTTAATTGTGTATAAATTTGAAGTTAAAAAGCCTTAGCTGATCTGTGTGTTTTATTCAATTTTGTTCAATTGGTTACGCAATAGATCGATTAAGGCTCTATAGAAGGCAATCGAATGTTTAGATAAATGTATGTTTATATGTAATAATAAAACAAAGGGCCAAGTTAACATAAGCTGGGAACATTTTGGGGGCGAAGAAGAAAGCTCTTAATACTAATATAATAGACAACACTATATATTATCTTAGCTCATATTGAAAATTCTTTAGGGTCCTTTCCGCGGTATTGTATTGAAGCCCATATATTTCGGGCAAACACAGATGACATTTCAGTTTACATTTTTTGTAAAGATAGTTTTCTAATTTTTTGCTCGTGAAAATGATTGGAATATTTAAAGAAATACGCAATGTGATGTTTTTTTTTTTTTTTTTTTTTTTTTTTGAATATGAGAAAAAGAAAAGACACTGCGAAAAATTTGTGAAGTGTACGCTAACAATGCTGTATGTAAGTGAACGAAGGACTTAGGAGTGGTTTACTCAATTCCGTTCCCGAAATTTCGATGTCAAAGATGAGGTGAAATTTTTGCGATTCGTAGAGCAAGACCCGCACGAAAGCGAAAACATTAAGCATCAACCACCTGACAATATGACAACCACCAATACAATAGGTATGTACTCCCTATACCTTAGTGATGATTGTAAATATGTACCATCTATGATAGAGATGACTTCATTTAGTGTATGTTAGGCTTAAGAACGATTAACGTATTCGTTATTGTTGTTGCTTTTTTTTCTTACTACGTACTTAAAATTCTCTTATAATTGTGTTGTTTGCCATCGCTTTTCGAATGAAATCCGCCCAATTAAATTAATTAATTTCCGTTCAATGAACGCCGATAGCAGATAACAGAAGCTTATCAGATTATAACAAATGAATAGATTTCTTTATCGGAATTGAATGAATGTAAATGAAATTTATATTCATTTCCATGAAACGAACGTGAGTTTGGCTTGAGTGAATAAACGAAATTTAAAAAAGAGAACGTTTCCATAACTAAAGCCTATTGTAAACCATAATAAGTCTTTTTTGGTTTATACGTTGCCATCTTTGTATGACTGACGGTAAGTTTTTAATTGCTGACTTTATTGTAAGAGTAGCAATTCTTTTGTTAAGATCGACAAATAGCGAGTCCGACAACCTTAACTTAATCTCTTTACTTTCATATGCAAATTTAGATTTTGAACTAAAATTATTCGTAAGTGTTCTTAATTGCATAACACCTTAAACTGATGTAGGGTGTGTGCAATAATTTATCTTGCAAAGGGATGTAATGTATTTACAGGTATAGGACGTTTACAGGACTTTTTTCAAAACACGACTTGATCCAGCTGCCTAAGGGCATTTACTTTAAAATAACTTTAATTCTAGTGATGTTAAACTGGACGGGATACATATACACATATACGAAAGATATAAAAATTTTTGCTTTTTAGTAAAAGAATTGCTACGAGATATTTTATTGAATGTACTGTGCATCGTTCGCGATTACAATTCCTATCTCTTAAATAGAATATGAATCGCATGCAGAAAAAGCGGAACCATTTTTTTGCGTCTCATCATAAAACTGACAGACTTACTCGAAAAGACACGAAGCCGTCGATTAAAATATGCGATAATCGGAAGGAGTACTGTTCGGTTCGAACAAACTGGCCAATAATTCATATACTTTACGGAGGTAATTTGAACTTTACCTCTCGGGATTTTTTAAAGATATTGAAGAAAAAATTAAAGTTTGATACCCTACAATATTGGGTAGGCGTGATAAATTTTTCATAATTTGGGTACGGAAAATACAACATCACTCGTAAAATATATGTTCTAATGTATGTAATTTATGAGTAATGACCAAAAAAAAAAAAGAACTTTTTATTTCTTTTGAAAAGCAGAGAGGATCCGAATTGACGCATTTTGAATACTGGCTTGCGTGCAAGAACTTCCAATGTTTCCAATGTTGCAACCAGGCGAATATGTAAAACAGATATTATGCAACGGACAGATGGACATGTTTAAATCGATTTAGAAAATGATGCCGATCAAACATATATATATTTTGTGGGGCCTCTGTGGGGTTTCCTTCTGGGAATTGCAAACGTTTTGACAAAATGAATATATCTCTCATCCTTCGGTGATGAATATGAATATTAGAAGGCGTACATTATGGACGATGCTGTAATAACGGTAGAAAAATGGGCAAAATTGAACACGCCTACCCAATATTATAGTGTATGAAGGCCCAGAAACATGCGCTAGAACCCCCACAAAGTATATAATTTCTTCGTCAGCTTCAAATTTGTAATACACCTAAGCATGTCCGTCTCATCATATGTCCATCTGTCCGTCTGTCCGTGTGTCCATCTGTCCATCTGCCCAAGAGTGCAATATCTGCGATAAACTCTCATAAGCGAGAATGAAACTATCGTCTACAAATTTCCAAAAGAATTTGGAAATGGACTGAACTTTTCAAAGCACACGCATAGAAACGTCCGGACACTTGATAATAGGAAAAAATAGTCGCGTATGCTTCATAACGAGGAGAAATATAAAGGATACGGTCACGACCGAATATACTTTGCGAACGTGTTACAATTTTCAGGCGAATTTTAGCTTTCCCTGCACAGAACGCACAGGTAATGTTAGAATGTATGGAGAATTTATTATAATTAATAACTACAACGGGAATTAAATTATATAATATTACAACGAAAACTTTTTAAAAATGCGTAAAATTATAATTTTTTTTATTATAATTAATTCAAAGCTGGAAAATATTATTAAAGAAATGAGCATTAAGCAGACGTCCATCATCCGTGTCTTCCTATTAAATCGGTTCAATTGAAAACATATTTGTTGAGAAAAGGAATAAATCGAGTAATAAATCATCTTCGCGATCTTCGTTGCTTTCACTGAACTTTAGTCAAGGCTGGAACGTTCGAGTTCCGTAATGCATTCGCCCACCAATACGCGGGCATGTCTTATGCTACGCTTAAGACGATCCGTAGAGCTACGCGAACCGATGGAAGCAGGACGTAGATCACGACCGATTTCCCCGATAACGGCTAACAGTTGAGCGTATTTGCTAAGGCGACCGTTGGCGGCTATAGCAGCACTGGACGGCAAATTAGCGGCCGAAGTCATCGGTGTGGTGATATTTCCTGAAGTTTGCGTGGTTACAACAGTGGGCGATGAAGACTGCGTATCGCAATGTTGCGAAGCAATTAGATTCGCCAAATTTTGATTGACGTATGGCCACACTGAGCCACCCGTTGCTTGGGCACTTGAAGCGTACTGGTGCAACAATGCCAATTGAGCTTGCAGTTGACGCACATAATGGTAAGCTGCTAAGGCTACGCAGATTTGCGCATTAGTGGTCCCAGACGCATTATTAAAATTATTGTTGGCCATAGCAAGCGGAATCGCTGCCACTGCATCGCGTTCTTCGGCATTGCTGCGAGACCGTACCTGATGATTCTCTCCAGATGAATGATTTACTGCAGAGGTTTGTATTTGGGGCGGTTCCTCGCGTTGCTGATTGCAATTATGCGCCTGTGGTAATGGAGTCACAGTAACGTCGCTTAGCTTGGATTCTGCTGCTTGAATATCCATTACAGACGTCGTGTCGTATTCTGGAAAGTAAAAATCGTAAAAGAAGTTCGTTTAAAAGACTTTTTTTAATAATTTCTCAATTTTTTTTCTTATTTTTAGCGCGTCTATGTTCTCTCGATAAGACAATGCAATTGAAATAAAAAAAAATTTTTTTAATGGCAGTGAAAATAAAGCATTACGAAGGGAAAGAAAAGATTGCTTCGATTATCGTTTAAAAAAAATTAATTAAGTGGCGTTTTCAGCTAAACAAGTGAAGACACACATAATACGAAAACAACTGATTGAACTAAATGAGCTCCAGATGCCGGACATAGTAGGCCAAAAACAAAAAAAAAAAAAAAAAATTTCTCTACAAATACAATGCAATCAGTTTTACATTTAGTGCCGCGGATTTGTCTTATATAAAATCATTCATTTTGGAATTTCGAAAGTGAAAGTAAGTAAAAGGCACTTCTGATTGAGATATGGACCACATTCTTTTACGACATATTCTTTGTGGGTTGCCATTATTGGTTTGAAGAAAACACATCTGATGTTTCTGAAGGACGTTTAAGCATACAAAAGTAACTTCGGGCATTGCAGTTATTGTCAATGGAAAATGGCTGGAGAAACAAGATAACTGATTTTTTGTGATAAAAATATCGACTTGGACGATGTGTGGTTTCACTAAAATGGTACAACACGCCATACATTTTGGGACAAGATCAATTTATTGGGAGGAAAGTTCAATGATCGCTTAATCTCTAAAAATACCTATGCGCCGTCTTGACAAAAACTCTATTAGAGTTTTTCCATAGGAGTTATGTTTGAGCATTGGCTCACTTCAGTGTACCACGAACTCTCCATGACCTTCCTCAGCAAGACTACTCGTATTTTTGATGAAATGGCAGCATATTTATCTGGAAAAATGGGAAAAATTGATGTTACGGAGATGAATTTTCACCGAAGTGCAGGACGATCACGACACGAAAATAGTTCTAAGTAGAAATGGCATGACGCAAGCAGAAAATAAAAGAAAATTCATGTTTTATATCTGGCACCATTTACACTCATTTGGTGCTTTGGGACAACATCTATCCTTTTACTTGTATAAAAAAAGGTATTTTTAAACAAACAAAGGAACGTACAAAACTAAGGAAAGCTTGCAAAAAAAAATAAATAAATAAATAACAAGAAAAAAAAAGAATGCATGGACAGATACACTTGGATTGATTCCCAAAATGATTGTAAATCGATCGGTGTAATAAAAGGTCTTTAGGTCTTTAATCTTTTTCGGTTTTACATACATCTAAACAAGCTTAATAGACGTTGTATTACAAGTGCCGTAGGGTAGGGAAACATGACGATAATATGTCATAGAATGACATGATCATTAGATCAGGCATTGATATTAGCAATATCATGATAAACATTTCAAGGCGCAAGGACGCATAAATATATTTTTAAGTTCGTTTTCGTGCAAACCGACCACAGTTTATTTTTTTCATTCTGCTATCTATTCTCCCTTCAGGCGAACGAGTGAATGAAAGTTTATTGCAGCAGCAAAGCAAAGCGAATGACAAAGTTATCTATAAAAGCGTTTGTAACGTAACGGTTATTTCAATTTAAGCTCTGTTTCAAAAAATTATCTTGAAAAACTTTTCTAAAGTTTTTGATGAAAAAACTTTAATTGATCGATCGTTCGCACACACCTCTTTATCTACGTGCTAAGATTTACAGAATAAACTTTTATAAACTTTAATAAGTGATCTCATCATTGTTAAATTAAACTTTAAATACAATAAATATTTAAAATTAATAACAGATGACTCCGTATTATATAAAACGCTTTTTATTACGAAGCGAGATACAATTTTATTATGCATAAATATGCTTTTGTGAAGTATGTTATTCGGTTTGTGACATCGTGAATATACGCATGAGAGACTACTTAAAGTATTCGTTATAGCTCTGATGTCCGTCCATCCATCCGCTATCATTGGAATGGATAAAATCGCCAAATCGATATAGAGAAGTCAATGTTAGTGCGTTAGTGCTTCTCACCCATATTTAAAGCGCATAAAATTTCAAAACATTATGATGTATATACATCCAAAATTTGGCGTCAACGATACGCCGGGACCATCTTAGCTTAGGCATATGAATAACTTTAATCAGTAAATTGCCAAAATTTGCTTCAAGATAAGTACGTCCATCTCTTTGCACACATCGCCGATGGGTGACGGGGTGCACGTTTTGTCTAAGCGTCTCCTTCACTCGGAAGGAATCTTCCCAGACTCCATAAAGCTTATAGAACTTTAAGTATGTCCGTATGTCTATCCACCGAAAATTGAGATATCATTTTTTAAATTGCACAAAAACGTTGCAGTTCCTTGCATGCGAGTTCGCATGAGAAACGTTACGTTAAAAAGTTACATAATGTGTAATAAAAATGTCCACGTGACCGGTAATGCAAAAAGCTAGGCTGATGCCACAGGCATAAGATTTATTTTGACATTTCATTTGTGAAATGTGACCACATCTTAAATAAAATACATATGCAAGCAAGAATGGTCCGAAAATTTGAGACGGTTTAGTTCTCTCCGTTCGCTTGTACCTCTTTATCTTCAGTGGACATTTTCAAAATTGTAAAACCGAAGAAGGAAAATGTCGTTAAAAATAAGCTTGAAAATTGACACAAATACAAACAAAAAAAAAAAAAAAACGGAAAGAAATTGAAATATGTAAAAACCGCATAGGGTCTGCCCTACCGCTTTGCTTAGTAAATTTATTGATATAACGACTTCCAAAAACAAGATTTTATATGGTTATTGACCGAAAAAGTGATCCAATGGTAAACGTTTTCAATAACGTTACTCTTTGGGCCGAAACGTTTCGGTGTACCAAGTGTAGGATATAGGAGAAGACGCCGGACAGACGGACAGACAATGGTCTAATAAAGGATGGGTCTATGTAGTGGATCCTTTCAGATTTTCCACACATCCGCAAAACCTTAATATGCTCTTATCCTTATTCACTTCGTATACTCGTGTGCTTAAAGAAATGCAAATAATTGCTGAAAAACGATATGAAAGAGAAGAAGATATTGATGAACACCATTGTCCTTTTTAATTATAGGAAAGTGTTTTTGTAGCAATTTATTGCATCAACGAGTTAATTATATTAGTCGGTATATATATATATATATATATTAATATCTGTCTCAGGTTTAGACTATGCGGGACAAGGTGGATATCTCGTTGCAATCGTTTGAAGCGACATAAACAATTCAATAATAAAATGAATATTTATACCGAAAAGCAAAAAACTATTACTTGCTATCTCCCTGTTTTTTTTTTTTTTTTTTTTAATTTCCATATTAGAAAATAATTTTCATTACATTTCCACCTGCTTTACATGCTTCGACCAATTGAATGCTTGCTTGCATGGTATAAATTGAAACATTGCACAAGAAAGTTCAGTTTTTCCTCTTTTACGAGTTTTTATGAAGAAATGTTCATTTATTACATATATGTTTGAAACTAGAAATTCGTCATATGATTTTGTGGTACACACAAACATCGTTATTAACGTAACAATAAAGCCAGAAAGTAAATAGTATAATAGTGATAGCAGATCAGTGGATTAGTGACAAGACCGGTTAGCATCATAGATATAAGATGAGCAGAGTTTTCCTCTATCCCATAATACTGGTGTTGGAAATCTTTTTGAAAATATGATGCCGCGATAATACACCTCGCCCTTTACAAACTCAATTTGTGAACATTGGGTAAAAAAGTGCGTAATGAATTGCGAATTTCCAAATTAATTTTTGCGACGCAGGGACGGACATGACTAAATTGATGTGTAATTTTAAATTTATACAAAATCATTGATGGACTTTTTGGAAGTGAACTATTAACAGCGGAGTACAAGCATATAAAACGAAGCCCAACTCTGTTTGAGAAAATATTTGTTTGGGTAGAAGACTTGTCCGAATCGGGGGGAGAAAGTTCAAGTTCACTTTATTTTAAGTCTTTTTCCATTTCAAAGCTCCTTCCATTTATAGTTGGTTTCTGTGCTTCACAAAGTTATTGAAAAAAAAATTGAATTTTGATATACTTTAAGATTGGGTAGGCGTGATCAATTCTTTCCATTTTTGTACAGGTACTACAGCATCGTTCATATTCTTGTCGTCACTTTAACTTGCTGTAGGTTATGAGTAAAGAGTAAAACTCCATTTTTTTGTTCGTTTTGAAAAGCATTGTTGCTCATTGTTTACGCGGATAATGTAGGCGTCTCCTTATACAGTTCTGCTCCGCTTTCAATACCAATCTACATGCAAGAACTTCCAATGTTTCCCCCAAATCCGAGGCCGATAGATTAATTTTTGCGAACAGGAGAATGTTTACAACAGACATTAAGCAGGTTGACAGGTGCACAGATGGACATGGTTAAATCGTTTCAGAATTTGATCCTGATCAAATGTATATATATATGCTTTGTGAGGTCTTTGAGGCTTCCTTCTGGGCGTTGCAAACTTATTGACAAAATATGCATATATTCTTCCCCTTTTGATGATGGTTGCACAAGAGAAAGAAAAATTGTCCAGGACTTTCGTAGCCAGACCAAGAACATAAAAAACTTCACGCTTTTTATATCCATTGAAAACTTTGTAACGCGTAGAAAAAATCTTCACCGACGCATCAAAATATAAATATTCTCTAAATATATCCGTCAACCCAATGGTGTAGTATCTGCGGTACACATTCTCTCGTTCGCAAAACCGAACATATCGCATACAAATTTTGTAAAGGAGTTTGAAAATGGCCCAAATAGATCAAAGAACACGCCTACAACGCGAGATCTACGCAACGAAAATCGTGAACATCTTTGCTTTCTGTCTCCTTTCTTCATTGCTCATAAACTGTAACAGCCATACGATATATATTTCCACAAAATTATTCTACTAAAATAGAAAAAATCAGCCACGCCTATGCAATAATATCTGTGACACACAA